TGAATTTCTGAATTTCTGAATTTTTGAATTTCTGAATTTCTGAATTTCTGAATTTCTGAATTTCTGAATTTTTGAATTTCTGAATTTTTGAATTTCTGAATTTCTGAATTTTTGAATTTCTGAATTTCTGAATTTCTGAATTTCTGAATTTCTGAACTTCTGAATTTTTGAATTTCTGAATTTCTGAATTTTTGAATTTCTGAATTTCTGAATTTCTGAATTTCTGAATTTTTGAATTTCTGAATTTCTGAACTTCTGAATTTTTGAATTTCTGAATTTCTGAATTTCTGTATTTCTAAATTTCTGAATTTCTGAATTTTTGAATTTCTGAATTTCCGAATTTCTGAATTTCTGAATTTCTTTCTGAATTTCGAAATTTCGTGACATGAGGACCAACATATGCGTCTAGCGTTTTATATATAAGGTTCAATTCCTTCTATGGTCAAAATTTTTTTATTTTTCTGTGGACCATGAAAACATCAATTTGAGGCTTTTTAGGCGTTTTAGGCCTTTTTCAACCCAAAATCCCCATATTCTATATTTTTCGGTCATTTTTGACCGTTTCCGTTTCCGTTTTCCGGAAAAAAAACGCCAATTTTTTTCAGCGGAAACGGAAAAAAATGTAAAAATTGACGAAAACATTAAACTGAAACTGGCTAGAATAAAAGCATGGAAAGTGAGGCGAATATAGTCTTCAAACGTTAAAAAGTGTTTTTTTTCATGTTTTATGTGAAAAAAATCCTGAAAAATAGACGAAAAACAGAAATTTCCGTTTCCGTTTTAGTTTTTCGTTTTCCGTTATTCGGGAAAATGCGTTTCCTCCCATCACTGATGCATACCGTTGCGCCATGTATTTTGAGCTTTAGAAACCTAGAAAAATCATTTAAAAATCTCTAGAATGGCTGTTTTCAAAAAAGTGTTCCAAATGGCTCAGAGGGTTTCGGCACCAAAATCTATGGTCCACAAGGTCAAAAGTTCAATTCCTCCAGCAGTCAAAATTTTTTTATTTTTGTGTGGACCTCAAAAATGATAGTTTTGGACCCACTTGAGATGTAGAAATTAGATTTTCAAAAATTTGGAAAACAACGTTTTTCGAAATGAAAATAAAATTTTTTGCGATTTTTGATGATTACTGGCAATGTTAAACACAAAAAAGTCTTAAAACTGCAAAAATAGCATAAAAACTCCCAGGAACAATGAAAAACGGTCAAAAATGACAATTTTCAAAAAAAACGTGCCAAATGGCTCAGTGGGTTTTGATACCGAAATTTACAGTCCACAAGGCCAAGGGTTCGATTCCTTTCGGGGTCTAAACTTTTTGATTTTTGTGTGGACTAGAAAAACATCATTTTCAGGCTTACTTGGGGTCCGGAAAATAGAATTTTCACAAAAATTTCCAAAAAAAGTTTTTTTTTCAAAAAAAAATTTATTTGTCAAAAAAAACTTTTTTCTACATTTCAAATCATAAAAAATTGTTCAAAACCACCCAAAACCTTCAAAAACCATGAAAAATGGTCAAAAATCGCATTTTTCGAAAAATGTTCCAGATGGCTCAGTGGGTTTTGGCACCGAAATTTTAAGGTTCACAAGGCCAAAGGTTCAATTCTTTCTATGGTCAAAATTTTTTTATTTTTCTGTGGACCATGAAAACATCAATTTGAGGCTTTTTAGGCGTTTTAGGCCTTTTTTAACCCAAAATCCCCATATTTCTCTAGTTTCATAAGATGATTAAGATGGTTAATCTCTGATTGAGTCAAAATTAACTTTTTTCCAGCTACCGAGTCAACTTTGGAGTTTACCGTCAGTCGAATAGCTATCCATACTCCTCGTCCCACTCTGATGATAAACCAAACTCAACCAAAGAAGCTGACTTAGAGAAACTGAAGTGGCAAATTTGATTAGAAGTAGTATTAGTCGCACTATTCCAGATGCATTCGAAATCAAAACAAAGAAATTCGCTAAATGATGGAAACTAAAGGCCAGCCTCTCCAATTCACCGTCGTCCATATCCAAGCCGCTCGCCATCGCAAAGAAACTTCCGGAATCAGAAATGTTCTCTAATGGGACAACGACGATTGTGATGGAAACAAGTATCAATAGCCAGCGAGCTCTTCAAACGGAAGAAGAAAAATGTTGTTTTTGCTCAGTTTTTTTTTTTTAATAAATTGGTTTCCAGTAACTCATTCAGTCTAGAATGAACCAAACGACTTGTATTTTTTTTCAGGAAAACCAGGACGCGACATTTGATGTAATGTTCTCAGTATTTTGAGCTTTAGAAACCTAGAAAAATCATTTAAAAATCTCTAGAATGGCAGTTTTCAAAAAAAGTGTTCCAAATGGCTCAGTGGGTTTTGGCACCGAAATCTATGGTCCACAAGGTCAAAAGTTCGATTCCTTTCGGGGTCAAAATTTTTTGATTTTTGTGTGGACCTCAAAAATGATAGTTTTGGACCCACTTGAGATGTAGAAATTAGATTTTCAAAAATTTGGAAAACAAAGTTTTTCGAAATGTTTTTGCAAAAAAATTTTTTGCGATTTTTGATAATTCCTGGCAATGTTAAACACGAAAAACGCCTTGAAACTGCAAAAAATAGCATAAAAACTCCCAGGAACAATGAAAAACGGTCAAAAATGACAATTTTCAAAAAAAAAGTGCCAAATGGCTCAGTGGGTTTTGATACCGAAATCTATGGTCCACAAGGTTAAAAGTTCGATTCCTTCTGGGGTTAAAAACTTTTAATTTCTGTGTGGACCCGAAAAACATCATTTTCAGGATTACTTGTGGTCCGGAAAATAGAATTTTCACAAAATTTCGAAAAAAGTTTTTTTTTTCCAAAAAAAATTTATTTGTCAAAAAAATTTTTTTTTCTACATTTCAAATCATAAAAAATTGTTCAAAGCCACCTAAAACCTTCAAAAACCAAGAAAAATGGTCAAATTTTTCGCATTTTTTTTCCAGATTTTCGGCCTAAATCGCATAAATTTTCAGATTAGAAGGGCGGTTGGTCTGAAAATTGACTTAAAACAGTCGAAACCTGTGAAAATTAGGCTAAAAAGGACCTAAAATAAGCCTAAACCGTCTAGATTGGCATGAACTGATCTTTGACGCATTTTCTAATATTTTCAGCCAAATTCCGGTCTCCAAAAGCGTCAAAAACTAGCTACAATCTATTCGAAAAACGCCATTCTATGCGCCGGGTCTGAAAAAATCTACTGATAACGAAAAAAAAACTGATAAGAGAGCACGAAAATGACAAATTTCAGCACTATTTTTCGCATTTTTTGCCATGAAGACACGATTTTTGTATAGTTTTTTACCGGTTTTATTGATTTTCAAGTCAGGTAATCTTTGAAAAATTTTAAAAATTCAAATTCCCGCCCAATTTCTTAGATTTCGTATCAGCTGCTGATTGCACACAGAAATCGTTCAAAACTGGTACGGTTTGCGTTTGTAGTTTGGACAGTTGCGATGAGGTGGGTTTGAAATTATGAAATTCGAATTTCTCACAAAATTTCCAACATTTTGAGCTCCATATCGAACTTTTTTGGTCGAATTTCAATTTTCGTGGTCGACCGCGGTCGACCTCAAAAATCAAAATGTTCCGAATCTGACCATGTTTGGGCTCAAAATGTCTGAAATTCCCAGAAAAATGCAATGGTTATATTCCCAATTTCAGATTCCGGCTCTGGACATCACAATGGGTCAGGCAGCCCTCTACACCACCTCTAATAGTGGGGCACGCCTACACCGGGATCTGGTATATGCGACTGACGCAGAGCCTTGTGAGTGAAAAATTCGAATTTCCCTCCAAATTGCAGTCTATCTGCAAAAAACTACAAGTTTCTACCGTTATTTTGAAGATTTTCGATTTTTTCTGGGTTACTGTAGCGCCAAAAGTACGCAAACACCGAATGTCGAATTCCGGGCTGAAAATTGGGTTACTTACCAATTCAAGGATGCTGAACACGAATCTATCAGTGCTTTAGTGTAAAAATAACTTTTAAGGTCTGAAACCGGTTACTGTTTTGGAACTGCTGACGTCCGCAAACACCGATTAGCCAGTTTTTTGAGGGTATTTGTTATTTTAGCGTACATATCTGAATTTTCCGTAAAATTTAAATCTAGATGCAGAAAACTAGACGTTTCTAGCGTTATTTTGAACATTTTCGGCTCTTTTTGGGTTACTGTATCTCAAAAAGTACGCAAACACCGAATTACGAATTTCAGGCTGAAATTTGGGGTTTTGACCAAACCGACCGCGGGAAACTTAAATTTGATATTCATTTTTGCTAATTTTTCAGTTGGGACCCTCCACATGACAATTGATTCCTCGAAAAAGTATCAAACGATTCAAGGATTTGGGTCCACGTTCTCAGATGCTTCTGGAGCCAATCTCAAAAGTCTTCCCGACAAATTAGCGGATACTGTAATCCGACAGTATTTCTCGGAGAGTGGTGAGCAATTGGAAACTTTTGGATTTTTGGGTTTTTTTCGGGCTTTTTTGGCCTGTGATCCTTCAAAATTGCCATTTCTAGGCTCAAATTTTCCGCCAATTTCAGATTTTTAGGTCTCAACTTGCAGTTCGGTCGTGTTCCGATGGCTAGCACCGATTTTTCGGGACGAGTTTATAGTTATAATGATGTCCCAGAAGATTATATGATGAAGAATTTCAATTTGACTAGGGAGGATTTTCAGTGGAAGGTTTTTTTTTCCCCTTTTGAAGGAAATAGCAATTATCTATTTTTCAGATCCCCTATATTCAAGCCGCGAAGAGATACAACCCGAATTTGAAGCTTTTTGGTGCTCCGTGGAGTGCTCCGGGTGAGTTTTTTGAAATTTTTAGAGAACTTCAGAAGGTTATGAAGATTAACACTAGAATTTTCGAATTTTTCATGAAATTTCCAATATTTTGAGTCTAAACACGGCCAGATTTGGAGAACTTTGAACTTTCATGGTCCCGACCGCGGTCGACCAAAAATATCAAATTCGCCCGAAAGTGGTTGAGATGGGGCTCAAAATGTCAGGATTTTCATAGAAAATTCGAAATTTCAAGTTTCAATATACCATACTTTATATTTTTTCGAAAATCGAGATTTTTAGAAAAAAAAATTTTTTTTGAATTTTCAGAAAAAAAACTTGTGGATTTCCAGAAAATTCCAGGAGATTCTGGAGATAAAAACGAAAATTTTCAGATTTTTTATTAAAATTTCTGACGTTTAGAACCCAAACACGGCCATATTTAAAACGGTTTTGATTTTTCGTGATCTCGACCGCGGTCGACCGCAGAAATCAAACTTAACCAAAGCTAGTCGTGTTTAGGTGCAAAATAACGGAAATTTCATGAGAAATTCAACTTTTCAAATTTCAAACCCTTAGAATTAATACTTTTTGAATTTTGATGGTCCGACCGCGGTCGACCGCAAAAATAAAACTCAACCGAATATGGTCGGTATTAGGCTCAAAATAACGGAAATTTTATGAAAAACTCGAATTTTCAGGTTTCAAAGCTGAGGAATCAGTAAATCTCCCAAAAATTAAGCGAAAACATGAAGTTTTTCAGGTTGGATGAAAACGACGAAAGAAATGTCGGGACCAGGAGCGCTGAACGGGCATGCTGGTGATAATTATCATAAGGCATATGCAACCTACTTTGTGAGGTATAAACTTTCTTTTTAAAAAATCTGAAAATCTGAAATTTCAGATTCCTAGAAGAATACTCAAAATCTGGAATCAATTTTTGGGCGCTGAGCACTCAAAATCAGCCAACTTTAGGGTCGGATAAGAAGAATAAAATTCAATCGACACTTTTCACGGCCGAAACTCAAAGAGATTTTATCAAATCCGATCTTGGACCGGCCTTAAAAGGAAAAAATGTCACATTACTGATAATGGATGATAATCGTGGAAATTTGCCGAAATGGGCGGATACGGTAGGTGGGCGGGGTCTGAAAACAGTTTAAAACAAAAAAACGAACATTTTTAGCATGGGTGGAATCGAACTTTGGTGTTGAGATTTGTAGGCAAACGCGTTAGCCACTAGGCCAAAATACCGAATTTCTCGAATCGCGCTAAATTGAAGTTAAAATTGTCAGAAATCAGACGAAAAACCGGTTTAAAGCAGGATTAAATGCTTCAAATTCCTTTTTTAGGTCTTTCTAAATTCCGACACTCGACCGCGCCGAAGCGGTCGAAACTCAAGTTGCTCAGATCTGAGGCAATATGGGGCTCAAAATGTCAGAAATTTTGTGAGAAATCCATTCAAACTAAATTTAGATGCTGAAAACGTCTCTGAAAATTTTCAACAGTCCACCAAATTTTGACCGCCCATGAAATCTGGGCCACTTGACCCAGAAAAAGCAAGAATCTTAAATTTTAAAACCAATTTTCAAATTTCTCACAAGATTTTTGAAATTTTGAGCCTAAACACAACTCGATTCGGTCAACTTTCGTTTTCGACCAGTTCTCGACCGCGGTCGATCATGAAAAGTGAAATTTTACGAAAAATAGTCATTATGGAGCTCGAAATGCGAGAAACCTCATGAAAACGCTGTATCAAACAAAATTAATTACTAAAAATGTCATTTTTGGGGGATTCAAAGTCTCGACCGCCATTCGACCGCGGTCGAAACTCAAATTGCTCATGATATGGTCAATTTGGTGCTTAAAATTTCAGAATTTTTATGAAAAATCCTTCAAAAGCAAACTCAAATGCTGAAAATTTCATTTCAAATTTTCGACCGCAACTCGACCGCGCCGCGGCGGTCGAAACTCAAATTGCTCCAAAAATGATCGAGATTGAGCTCAAAATGTCAGAAATTTTGTGGCAAATTCAACTGAAATAAAATCAAAACTCTAGCCTTGCCTACTTTCAAAAAAATCCGAAATTTCCAAATTTTCGAAAAAAAACTGAATCAAATTAGGTACCAAAATTTTTCAAATTTCGCGCCAGATCTAAAAATTTCCAACTTTCAGGTGCTCAACGATCAAGACGCCGCCAGATACGTCTCTGGAATCGGGGTGCATTCTTATCAAGACTCTGAAACTGATAAACATTTGGATGATACCCACAAAAAACACTCAAATTTCTTTATTCTAGGTACTGAGGTGAGTTTTGAGGGGCCTGAAAAATTTTACTTTAAAAAATTAGAATTTTAGGCCAGCGAAGGGGGCGGAGCCAAGGAGCAATCTGTGGATTACGGTAGCTGGGAGCGTGCCGAGGATACGGTTTCCGATATTTTGGATGTGAGTCTATTTAAATCAATTTTCAGCCTTAAAAGCCTAGTTTTTGGCCTAATAAGCCAAAAATTTCAGGACTTAAATAATTGGGTCGTCGGATGGACCGAGCGGAATCTGATCCTGGATGCCCAGGGTGGACCATCGTGGGTTTCCGATTTTGCCGATGCACCAATTATTGCCTTCCCAGCATTGGCTCAGTTCTACAAACAGCCAATGTTCTACGCAATTGCTCATTTTAGGTGAATTTTGAAAAACTTTTTATGAGAAAATGTTAGAAAATTGATTTTGAAAATTTTCGGTACAAAGATCATATTTCTTTCTCAAAAACTAGCCGAGTTACAGCGATTTTAAGTTTTTGTTCGGTGGAGCGCATTTGCGTTTTTTCTCAAAACTTTCAGTTATATGAAAACGTAGAACTAAAAACCTTACACTTTGGTGTAAAAATCACTGAAATAGCTTGAAAACTTACAAAGTTACAGCAATTCTAATTTTTGTCCAGTAGAGCGCACTTGCATTTTCGCATTGAACTTTAGTCAAAATAGTCCGATTTTAGTCTAACTTTGTGCATTTGATGTCAAATTTATCAGTAAATCGAGATGTTTTGCTTTCAGCTGTATATCTCAAGTTTTCGGGAAAAGTTCGATGGAGCGCATTTGCATTTTTCTGAATTTTCTACATTAGAAAAATTGAAAATCAGAAACTAAACAATTTGGTGCAAAAACCACCTAAATACCTTCAGAACTAACCAAATTACAGCAATTTTGTTTTTGTCCAGTAGAGCGCACTTGCATGTTTTGATCATATCTCAGCTCCCCATAGACCGATTTTGATGATCTTTTTGCATTTGAAATCAATTTTTATAGAAAATTTGATCAATTATATTTTAAGCCACTTCATCAAGCCTGGGGCCGTCCGAATTGACCATTCCCTCAACGTCATTGAGCTGGAAGTTGAGTCAGCCGCATTTTTGAATCCAGATGGGTCCAAAGTGATCATTATGCTGAATAAGGCTGCGGTGAGCTTATTTTAATGCTGAGCAATCGAAAAAATCGATAACTTCTTGCAGTTGGTTTCCACGGAGCATACTGTAGTTGTGCAGGACGCTGCTGATAATCGCAACCATTATCAATTCAAACTTCCACACAGAAGTATCACTACATTGTACATTCAAACTTCGAATTTTTGATTTGGAAATTAATGAAAATTCAATTTTTTATCGATTTGAAAAAGTTTGAAAAAGACAAAAATACAGTTAATAGTTTTTGTTCAATGGAGCGCATTTGCAGCAGTTTTCAGGATCAAAAAAGTCTGAAAACAAAATATTTGAATTTATCATGAAATTTCCAACATTTTGAGCCCCATATCGACCATTTTTGGTCAACTTTCATTTTCGGTCGTTTCGACCGCGGTCGAAAATCAAACTAGTTTTAATATAGTCAATATGGGGCTCAAAATGTAAGAAATTTCATGAAAAACTCTAAACTAACAATTTCCACTATTCTAAACCCCCACTTGGGCCATATTTGCATTTATGATTCTTGGCGCCAAAAATCCAAAATTCGAAAATTTTTTAAATTTTCTCCAAAATGATCTAACTGCCTAAAACTTTTATTTTTGAGTTTGTGATGACATTTCAAACATTTTCAGCCCCATACCGACTATTTTTTGGCTGACTTTGATTTTCGACCGTTTTGACCGCCGCCGTGCGGTCGAAAGTCAAACTAGCCCAAATATAGACAATATAGAGAACTTCAGAAGGTTATGAAGATTAACACTAAAATTTTCGAATTTTTCATGAAATTTCCAACATTTTGAGTCTAAACACGGCCAGATTTGAAGAACTTTGAACTTTCATGGTCCCGACCGCGGTCGACCAAAAATATCAAATTCGCCCGAAAGTGGTAGAGATGGGGTTCAAAATGTCAGGATTTTCATAGGAAATTCGAAATTTCAAGTTTCAATATACCATACTTTATATTTTTTCGAAAATCGAGACTTTTAGAAAAAAAATGTTTTTTTTTTGAATTTTCAGAAAAAAAACTTGTGGATTTCCAGAAAATTCCAGGACTTTCTGGAGATAAAAACGAAAATTTTCAGTTTTTTATTAAAATTTCTGACGTTTAGAACCCAAACACGGCCATATTTAAAACGTTTTTATTTTTCGTGATCTCGACCGCGGTCGACCGCAGTAATCAAACTTAACCAAATCTAGTCGTGTTTGGGTCCAAAATAACGGAAATTTCATGAGAAATTCAACTTTTCAAATTTCAAACCCTTAGAATTAGTACTTTTTGAATTTTGATGGTCCGACCGCGGTCGACCGCAAAAATAAAACTCAACCGAATATGGTCGGAATTAGGCTCAAAATGTCAGAAATTTTATGAAAAATTCAAAACTAACAATTTCCACTATTTTCAACCAGATTCGAAAAATGAAAAGTACCAGAAATTTCAGTGAAAATAAAAATTTCATTTCAAATGGATCAACGTGCAGGTGCAGCTGGATGGGTAATGTAAAATAGATATACTAAAATCTTGAGGAACGAAACCTATAATTGAGGGAATGTGTGATTGGCTGGAGAATAAAGATGTTGGCGAGAATAGGTAGATGGTGGGCACATCTGAAAATAGTCTTCAAAAAAATGCAATTTTAAAAAGTACATCTCATACCTCTCTTATCTTCTTCTTCTCGAAGTTCTTCTTGAACTTGTGTTTCTTTTCCTCCTCCCTCTGTTTTCTCTATTTGTAGTATTTTTTAACCTTAAAAAACTATTCATGAACAATATCTTACAATTAAGTCAACTGACATGATTCTTTGATATTTTTTGAGTTTTCTCGAAATCCCCGAGATCCACGTCCTCGATGTTGGGCTCATTTTGAAATAGTTGATAAAGAGCATAAAGTTGGGCCCTGTCGCCATACGGTGCTGCTTCGTTTTCATGAACCTGCCTCCGCTTCATTTCAAAATATTCGGCTTAAAATTGGCTGAAATTCTGAAATTTTAGGATTAAAAAAAAACTATTTTTTGAAAATTTTTCAAAAAGTTTCCCACCAAAAGAGTGGAAACAATCATTTTCACATTTTCCATGGAATTTCTGACATTTTAAGCTCCATATTGACTATACTTGGTCAACTTCAATTTTCGACCGCTTTGACCGCGGTCGAAGCGGTCAAAAATGAGAGTTGACCGAAAATGGTCGAGATTGGACTCAAAATGTTGGAAATTTGATGGGAAACTCGAAAATGATAATTTTCAAGCAGTTTGATCATCTTTGGAGACAATTTCGAGATTTTTCGATTTTTCGATTTTGTCGCCAAAAATCATAAATGTCCAAATGTGGTCGAAACCGGGTTAAACACAATGGAAATCATTATTTTTGAATTCTCTATCAAATTCCGGACATTTTGAGCCCTATATTGACTATATTTGGTCAACTTCAATTTTCGACCGCTTTGACCGCGGTCGAAAATGAAAACTGACCAAAAATGGTCAATATGGGGCTCAAAATGTCAGAAATTTCATGGAAAGTGTGAAAATAATATTTTTAGACAGTTGAATCATCATTGGAGAAAATTTTGAAAGTTTTTCGAATTTATGATTTTAGGCGCCAAAAATCATAAACGCCCAATATTGTCCCAAGTCGGATCGGGTCAAAAATAGAGAAAACTGTTATTTTTGAATTTGTAATCGAATTTCTGGCATTTCGAGCCCCACATTGACCACATTTGGATTAGTTTGATTTTGGACCGCGCGGCCGACGCAGTCGAAAATGAAAGTTGATCAAAAATGGTCGAGATTAGGTTCAACACGTTGAAAATTGTATCAAAAAAATTGAATCTTTTGTTTTCAGATCATTTTTTATCTAAAATTTTAGGCCTTTTCAAAATTCTGAATTTCTAAAAGCGATAAAACTTACTGTTCCTTCTGGTCCATGGAATCCATTTAGGATTTATAGAATCCAATAAAGTAAAAATAAAGAATGTTCAGAAAAAATCAAAAACAGAATATCGGCTACACTGCCATGCAGAAGGCAGTCTAGCCTAATCGGAATTTTGGAAAAATTCCCAAAAAGTCGATATATTCTATTTGTTGGAAGGTGAGACAACCATCCAGGATTGATGGGAAACTCGAAAATGATAATTTTCAAGCAGTTTGATCATCTTTTTATTTTCACTGAAATTTCTGGTACTTCTCATTTTTCGAATCTGGTTGAAAATAGTGGAAATTGTTAGTTTTGAATTTTTCATAAAATTTCTGACATTTTGAGCCCCATATTGTATACATTTGGGCTAGTTTGACTTTCGACCGCACGGCGGCGGTCAAAACGGTCGAAAATCGAAGTGGGTCAAAAATAGTCGATATTGGATTCGAAATGTTGGATATTTCATGAGAAACTTCAAAAATGATAGTTTTAGGCAGTTTGATCATCTTTGGAAAAAATTTTAAAAAATTTTTGAATTTTGGATTTTTGGCGCCAAAAATCATAAATGCCAAAATATGACCCAATATGGGGTTTGAAGTGGTGGAAATAGTCATTTTTGAATTTTTCATGAAATTTCTGATATTTTGAGCCTCATATTGTCTATATTTGGGCTAGTTTGACTTTCGACCACACGGCGGCGGTCGACGCGGAATATCGGCTACACTGCCATACAAGGCAGTCTAGCCTAATCGGAATTTTGGAAAAATTCCCATATATTCTATTTGTTGGAAGGTGAGACAGCCATCCAGGATGGTGTTTGGGTGGTTGACTGAGGCCAGGAGGACGAGGCGGGGATTAAGAGACCGGACGTCTTCATAATTAGTGCTAGATGGTCCACACGGCCTAGCCGTAACACCTGGTTATCCACCTTACACATCTAGAGAGTATTGGAAAAGATGTGAGTGGTTAGATTGAAGGAAAAAGATAATCCCTTCCTGGCATTCATTAACCACAGAAAAGAGGGAAATGGGCATCCATCAGAGCAAATACGAGGCACATAATTCTGAGAGTACACCATTTAGGGAGTAAAATTCAAAATTTTCAGGTGTTTTGTACCCCTAAATTGCCGTGTACCCTCCAAATTATTTGCATATTTACGGTAACAGGGCTGATAACAGCAGATTATTTAAACTGAAAAATATATTTTTCAAAATTCGGATTTTCGAAAAGGTCTGAAAACAACATATCAAATTTACCATGAAATTTCCTACATTTTGAGCCCAAACTCGACCATTTTCGGTCAGTTTTCAGTTTTGACCGTTTCGACCGCGGTCGAAACTCAAACTAGTCCGAATATAGTGAACATAGGGTTAAAAATGTCCGGAATTTGATGGAGAATTAAAAAAAATAGTGATTTCCATTGTGTTTAACTCGGTTTCGACCACATTTGGATATTTATGATTTTTGGCGCCAAAATCCAAAATTCGAAAAATCTTCCATTTCTCTCCAAAGATGATCAAACTGCTTGAAAATTATCAGTTTTGAGTTTCCCATCAAATTTCCTACATTTTGAACCCAAACTCGACCATTTTCGGTCAATTTTCAGTTTTGACCGTTTCGACCGCGGTCGAAACTCAAGTCCAGATAGAGTGGTCATGGGCTCAGAATGTCAGAAACTTGATAAGAAATTTAAAAAACCACTTTCCACTAATTTCCATCTCTGGGCCAACCGCGTCGACCGCGGTTGAAAATCAAACTCCTCCAAATATATATGAGACTTTGTCAAATTTTCTCCAAGGACGATCCAACTGCCTGAAACTATCATTTTGAGTTTATCATCGAATTTCCAAAATTTTGAGCCCAAGCACGATCATTTTTGGTCAATTTTCATTTTCGACCGCGTCGACCAAAAATCAAACTTTTCCAAATACAGTCAATATGGGGCTCAAAATGTCAGAAATTTGATAACAAAATCAAAAATGACAATTTCCACCAGTTCGGTCGGGAACTGAGCATTTTAGGATCCGAAGTTCAGCATTTCTTATATTTGGTAGACCAATGAACGCAAAAAAAAACTATGTTATGGTTTGATATATAAATTTATTAACAATAATCATTGGAAGATAATGAGTGGAGTAGATCCAATCCAGAGTAGCCAGAGTGGTAGTATGATATTTGGTGGGAAAAAAAACAAAAAAATGTTGGATTTTGCATTCCATCGTACTCAACCAGCTCTTATGTCCAATTTTGATCGATCGGACAATCAATATCGGTTCCGCTTGCTCTACAAAAAAATAAATTCAATAAAAACTATTATAAAGTACGGTAAACACTCTAATAGAACGCCACCCGGACCGTCCAATTTGTGCCTATATATCTCGTTTTTCTTGAAAGATATCAAAAAGTAGCTGACTGATAAAATGTTTATCATGATATAAGCAATATTCTATTAGTTGACCACTTTTTGATATCGCTCACAGAAAATGAGATACATGGGCTCAAATTTGACGAATCGGGTGACGTTCAATCATTGGAATTGTGATTTTCGAGTATCTCATGCAATTTGTAAAATTTTTAGCCCCACATTTACTATATTTGAGCTAGTTTGATTTTCGACCGCGGTCGAAGCAGTCGAAAAGGAAAGTTGGCCAAGTAATGTCAAAATGAAGCTCAAAATGTTGGAAATTTCCTGAAACTTTCGAAAATGATAGTTTTAGGCAGTTTTATCGTATTCGAAGAAAAATTGCGATTTTTTTAATTCTTTGATTTTTGGTGCCAAAACCCATAAATGCCCAAATCTGGTCCAAATGGGATTTAAAGTAATTGAAAATTAGATGTTCGAGTTTCTCATAAGATTTCTGACGTTTTGAGCTCCATATTGACTATATTTGAGTTAGTTTGATTTTCGACCGCGGCGGAAGCGGTCGAAAAGGAAAGTTGGCCAAGTAATGTCAATATGGGGCTCAAAATGTTGGAAATTTCCTGAAACTTTCGAAAATGATAGTTTTAGGCAGTTTTATCGTATTCGAAGAAAATTTAGAGATTTTTTGAATTCTTTGATTTTTGGTGCCAAAACCCATAAATGCCCAAATCTGGTCCAAACGGGATTTAAAGTAATTGAAAATTAAATTTTCGAGTTTCTCATAAGATTTCTGACGTTTTGAGCTCCATATTGACTATATTTGAGTTAGTTTGATTTTCGACCGCGGCGGAAGCGGTCGAAAAGGAAAGTTGACCAAATATAGGCATAATTGGGCTCAAAATGTTGGAAATTTCATGATAATTTCGAAAATGATAGTTTTAAACATTTTCAATCATCTTTGAAGAAAATTTAGAGATTTTTTGAATTTTTTTTTTTGCCGCTTAAAATTATATATGCTCAAATTTGTCCACATTCAAGTTTGAAGCAGTGAAAAATTTTTTATTAATTTGCGAGAATCCAGAATCCAGAATCCAGAATCCCAATAAAAGCAACTCACATAAAGTCCCGTGTATTCTATCCAGTACTGCTTCTTGATGTTCTGCTCTTTGATCGATGACCAGACAAATTCCCAATGAGCATCACTACAGTATTTCCGAATGAGTTGCTCTGCCTCCTCGAAACAGTCGGGTGTTATTCTCGGGCATTTGATTTGGGATAGCATGTAGATCAGCGCGCCGATAAGCTCACACGAAATGGGGTACCAGATGATGGATCGTAGAGTTGGACCTTGTGCATGAAGGTTTGCCAATGTGATCGCCTCCTTTGATAGACTCATGTTGTTGAACTCAATCGAATCGAACAAAAAGTCTCCCAATTTCAAGAATTCTCAAGGTTCAGGAGAATAATTGACGAGCTGAAATAATTGATCCAAATATCTGGTACAAATCTGGTCCAAATGGGGTTCAAAATAATTGAAAATGAGATGTTCGAGTTTCTCATAAAATTTCTAACGTTTTGAGCCCCATATTGACTATATTTGAACTAGTTTGATTTTCGACCGCGGTCGAAGCGGTCGAAAAGGAAAATGTTGGAAATTTGATGGGAAACTCGAAAACTATAATTTTCAGGAAGTTTGATCATCTTTGGAGACAATTTGAAGATTTTTCGAATTTTGGATTTTTGGATTTTGGCGCCAAAAATCATAAATGTCCAAATGTGGTCGAAACCGGGTTAAACGCGATGGAAATCACTATTTTTAAATTCTCTATCAAATTCCGGACATTTTGAGTCCCATATTGAGTATATTTGAGCTAGTTTGATTTTCGACCGCGGTCGAAGCGGTCGAAAAGGAAAGTTGACCAAATATAGGCATAATTGGGATCAAAATGTTGGAAATTTCATGATAAACTCAGAAATAATAGTTTCAAACAGTTTCACCTTGTTTGGAAAAAATTTGAAAAATTTGTGAATTTCGAACTTTTTGCGCCAACAGTCAAAAATGCCCAAATTTGGCTGAATTCGGGTTAAAAATAATGAAAATTGTAATTTTTGAACTTTCCATCAAATTTCTAACATTTTGAGTCTCATGTTGACTATATTGGAGCTAGTTTGATTATAGACCGCGGTCGAAGCGGTCGAAAATGAAAGTTGAGCAAAAATGATCGATATGGGGCTCAAAATGTTGAAAATTTGATGGGAAATTCGAAAATGATAATTTTCAGGCAGTTTGATCATCTTTAGAGACAATTTGAAAATTTTTCGAATTTTGGATTGTGGCGCCAAAAATCATAAATGTCCAAATCAGGCCGAAATCGGGGTTCACGTAGTGGAAACTATTGTTTTTGAATTTCTCAACGAATTTGTGACAATTCGAGCCTTATATCCGCTATTTTTAGACTAGTTTGATTATCGACCGCGGTCGAAGCGGTCGAAAAGGAATCTTGACCAGAAATAGTTGATATGGGGCTCAAAATGTTGGAAATTTGATGGGAAATTCGAAAATGATAATTTTCAGGCAGTTTGATCATCTTTAGAGACAATTTGAAAATTTTTCGAATTTTGGATTGTGGCGCCAAAAATCATAAATGTCCAAATGTGGTCGAAACCGGGTTAAACACAATGGAAATCATTATTTTTGAACTCTCTATCAAATTCCGGACATTTTGAGTCCCATATTGACTATATTTGAGCTAGTTTGATTATCGACCGCGGTCGAAGCGGTCGAAAAGGAATCTTGACCAGAAATAGTTGATATGGGGCTCAAAATGTTGGAAATTTGATGGGAAATTCGAATATATTGTTTTCAGACCATTTGGATTCTAAACTTTCTAATTTTTGACTTCAAAAAAGCTCTAAAAACTCACTTTTTTAGCTGTTCCATGGAATCCATTTAGGATTTATAGAATCCAATTAAATAAAAATAAAGAATGTTCAGAAAAAAATCAAAAATAGAATATCGACTAAACCGCCATGCAGAAGGCGATCGTAGTCTAATCGAAGTTCTGGAAAATTCCCAAAAAATCGATAAATCTATTTTAAAGGTGAGACAACCATCCGAGATGGTGTTTGGATGGTTGAATGACAAAGAAGAAGACAAAAAAGAGAGGACAGGTTTTCTGTCTGCGTCTCTCTACTCTCTCGCCTCAAAGGGTCAACAGGTGGAGGCGATTTCTCTGCGTCTCTTCATTTTGTATACTCTCTCTCTCTCTCTCTCTCGAATAGTCCCATGTCCTTCACATGTTTTCATTGTTCTTCTGCACGCAACTTGGAAAGTATTGGAGAAGAGGAGAATGGTTAGAGAAAATAGAAAATTCTAGAATTTCATAAATCCACTATTTTGAAAACTTCCGAAAATTCGAACGTTTAGGATCAAACAGGTCTGAAAACCAAATTATCGAATTTATCATGAAATTCCCAACATTTTGAGCTCAAACTCGACCATTTCTGGTCAACTTTCATTTTCGACCGCGCCGGCCGCGCGGTCGAAAATCAAGCTAGCCCAAACATAGTCAATATAGGGCTCAAAATGTCAGAAATTTGATGGAAAACTCAAAAAATCAGTTTCCGCTATTTTTAAACCAAGTTCGGCCGAATCCGGGCTTTTATGATTTTTGACGCCAAAAACCGAAACTCAAAAAACGCTTAATTTTTCTCCAAAGATTATACAAACTGCCTAAAACTGCCATTTTCGAGTTTTTCATAAAATTTCTGACATTTCGAGCCCCATATCGACCATTTTTGGTCAACTTTCATTTTCGACCGCGCCGACCGCGCGTTCGAAAATCAAGCTAGCCCAAACATAGTCAATATGGGGCTCAAAATGTCAGAAATTTGATGGAAAACTCAAAAAATCAGTTTCCGCTATTTTTAAACCAAGTTCGGCCGAATCCGGGCTTTTATGATTTTTGACGCCAAAAACCAATACTCAAAAAACGCTTAATTTTTCTCCAAAGATTATACAAACTGCCTAAAACTGCCATTTTCGAGTTTTTCATAAAATTTCTGACATTTCGAGCCCATATCGACCATTTTTAGTCAACTTTCATTTTCGACCGCGCCGACCGCGCGGTCGAAAATCAAGCTAGCCCAAACATAGTCAATATGGGGCTCAAAATGTCAGAAATTTTATGATAAACTTGAAAACATGGTTTCCACTGTTTTAACTTCATTTTGAAGCTAAAAAAGCGGCAAACTTATTTTTTGTTCATTTTTTCCAGATTGGTCATTTTCAGCTAAAAAAATCACAATAAAAACTGCAACATTTTCACAGAATATTCATCTAGTAATAAAATAAATCAGCTCTTATCAGTGCACACAAGAAATACTCAGGAAAAGGGGGGCGTTCGATATCAAAAAAGGGGAGAAAAATGGGCGGGAAATTAGGGAATTTTAAAATTTAAAATCCATCGATCTGTGTGTCCGGATGTCGCAAATCTCGAATTTCCTATTTCTCCTGCTGTTGAATGATGTTGAATGCGGGTTTTCCTTGAGTATCCTGTCCAGCCGGGACCTTTTTTCCGTGCAAAACGTACGGCGACGCGAAGTCGTGACGGCAATTCGACCATCCGGTGCCGAGGCCGACGCCCGAACCGAACCAGATTGGCCACGAGCGGCTCTGCAAGAATTAGAGGTTTTTTTTGACTGAAAATCGTCTGAAAATCATGAATTTTAAGCCAAAAATCATCGCGTTTTTTGAGCGAAAAGAAGCCTTAAATGAGGTTTTTGAGCTAAAATTGGCAGTTTTCAAAATTTCGAAATTAGGCCAACATAGGCCTTTCTAGGTCGAATATTCCCATGATTTTCAGCTCAAAATCTATAATTTTCCGACGAAATACGTAAACTTTCAGCCAAAAATCGCATTTTCCGAGGAAAAATAGGCCTAAAAAGAGTTTTTTGAGCTAAAATTGGCAATTTCGAATTGTCAAGAATTCGACAGTTTCAGGCCATTATAGGCCTGAAAATCACGAATTTTTAGCAAAAAATCGAGCTTTTAGAGCAAAAATAGGCCATTTCTAGGCCGATTTAGGCAATTTTTTAGACTGTTTCAGGCCATTTCAGGCCCTTAATTTTTATGATTTTCAGCTCAAAATGGGTCAGTTTCTATATCATTTTGATCACATTTTAGGTTGTTTTTAGGCTGACTTGACGAAAATAGGCCTTTTCAGGCCGTTGCAGGCCCAACTTCCATGATTTTTGGCTCAAAATAGCTCATTTTTCATGGAAAAACCTGGATTTTTGCTCATTTTTCGCCCGTTTTTCAGTTGTTTACATAAAAATCTCACCTTGAAAAACGCGACACTTGCCACGATGCCAATCGCGACGCCGCCGGTCACTTTGAGCAGCGAATCCGCGAAACATCTGTCGATCTTCTGACCGACCTCATCCTCGCTACGTGGCATAATTTTTGGGCTGAAACTGATGAAATTTGGCTGAAAATCACTGAAAATGGCTGAAAATCGGGTCAAAAAATCGATAAAAATGCGCTAAAAACGCCAAAAATGGGGGGAAAATTTTGGAAAAATCGGTTAAAGCAACTTTTTTTGAATTTAACAAAAAATCAATGATAATTATGCAATAATTATAACAATAGAAAGAGAGAGAGAGAGAGATCAAGAGCCTAAGAAGGGCCTAAAAGAGGCCTAATTAGGCCTAAAAAGACACAAATTTCTGGGGAATGAATGGAACATAAGGGGGGTTCAAACGGCCTAATTCAGCCCAAAATAGGCCTAAAAAGCCCAATAGAGGCCTAACAGAGATCCTAGGGGCCTAATTTTCTGGGGGAATGGAACAGGGGGAAGTCTAAATGGCCTAATTTGGCCCAAAATAGGCCTAAAACAGCCTAAGAATAAGCCTAGAAAGCCCGAAATCGGGCCTAAAAATCATCTGGATCCATAATTTCGACAAATTTCCTTCAATTTTCGAATCGCTTCGTCCTCTTCAGAATCCGACGAATCGTCAATTGGGTTACTGTAGAAATTCGAAGTTTGATGTGCAGGTTTTGGCAGAGGGGGTGGAGGGTGCGGAGCTTGTTGAGCCAATCGCTGAAAATTCGGATTTCAAGGGTTTTTAGGCTCAAATTCAAGGTTTTAGGCCTATTTTAGGCCGTTTTTTCTGAATTTTAGGCCTTTTCAGGCTCAATTCCAGCTGCCTACCTCTACAGAATCATGATTTCTGGTCCATGAACCAAACGTTTCAGAATATCGACTTCCAGAAGACGTCGTTGGCGCTTCGAATCCAACGACGCCAGGCGGTGGGAGCGGCATTTGGTAGGGTACTGTAGCCCTTGGATTACTGTAGCTGGGAGGGTTACTGTAGGCAGATCCACCGGGATTACTGTAGTTTTGACGATAGGCTTCAACGCCAAACGGATCCGCGTAGCTCGCTGCTGGAGGATTGCTGTAGTTTTGAGGGTTACTGTAGCCTCCAGATGACGTGGACGGCGGTCCAGAAGACGTCGGTTTGTCTTGGAAAAAATATCCGGTTGATTGTGGAGCGCCCGGCCCGAATGATGGTGGCCTGAAAATTGGATTTTAGGCCTGTTTAGGCTGGTTTAGGCCAGTTTAAGGCCATTCAGGCCGATTTAGGTAATTTTGATCAAATATAGACTGCAATTAGGCCTCAATAATGTTGTCTGGACTAAATTTTTAGACCTATTCAGGCTGGTTTAGGCTATTTTCAGGCTTTCTCTGGGCTCAAAAAGACAATTTCAGGCCGATTTAGGCCTAATTTTGTTGATTTTCGGCTCAAAATGGGTCATTTCAGCTCAATTTTCGTATTTTTTCGGACTAAATTTAAGGCCGTTTCAGACAATTTCAGGCTAACAATAGGTTGTTTTAGGCCATTTTCAGGCTCATTTTGGGCTTAAAATAGGCTGTTTCAGGCCGATTTAGGCCTATTTTTCATGATTTTTAGCTCAAAATGGCTCACTTTTTTTTGACTAAGTTTTGGGCCAATCTAGGCAAAAATTAGGCCGCTTCAGACCTATCTAGGTCAAATTAGGCCCAATTTTTCAGATTTTCAGCTCGAAATGGCTCATTTTTCTCAGTTTTTCGCCTCATTGCTCATCACTAACCCATAAATCCGCTCTTTCAGCGCTTCCACGTGCTGCTGGTACTGTTGTAACCACTCTCTTTGCTTTGTAACACGCGGCGGCGGGTCGTTTTGTGGTTTTTCGTTGAAATTCGTCGGTTTTGGGCCAGAAGACGTTGCGGCTGATGACGTGCAAAGGGGCGGAGCCGGGAGAAGCGTTTTTCGCATGAATTGAGTGTGTACGGTAGATTTCGAAGACGTGGATGGGGTCTGGAAATGAATTTTGGCCCATTTTAAGACAAATTAAAGCTCACTTCAGGCCTATTTTAGGTAGCTTGGGGGCTAATTCAGGCCTATTTTAAGCTATTGGCCCATTTTAAGACAAATTTAAGCTCATTTTAGACCTATTTTGATTAGGGGCTAATTTAGGTCAATTTTCAGTCATTTTGGCCTAGTCTAGGCCGATTTAGGTCTATTTTACATGCTTTCGGGCCATTTTCAGTCATTTTAGGCCATCCATTTTGAGCCAATTTTCAGTTAATTATAGCTCATTTTAGGTCTATTTTAAGCCAATTTTCGGTTATTTTAAGCCAATTTTTGGTCATTTTAGGCCTGCTTCAGGTTGCTTGGGGCCTAGTTTAGGTAGTTTTAGGCCAATTTTCGATAATTTAAGGCTTGTGTTAGGTCATTCTAGGCCCAATTAAGGCCTATTTTTAATAATTTTAGCTAGAATTCGGACAATTTTCAGTCATTTTAAGTCAAAATTCAGCTATGTTAGGTCTAGTAAAGGTCCATTCAGGCCAAAATTTAGGCCAATTTCAGTCGTCTCAGGCTAACTAAGGTCTATTTTCAGTCATTTTAGGCATATTTCAGGCCATTTAGGCCCTCCCATACCCAATTTCAGCCGTTTTTCACGATTCTCAACCACCATTTTTCGTCATTTTCAGCCAAATTTACCCCATTTTCAGCGGGTTTCTTCGGCGGCGGCGGTTCGTCCTCCTCGTACTCATCCTCTCCCTCGACGTCTTCTGCCACTTTTTTGTCGTTTTTCGGCGGTGATTTTTGGGGTTTCTCACGCTTTTTGCCATTTCTTTCAGCGTCGTTCGCCTGCTCTCGTATCCGCTTCATTATTTCCGCTTGTTGACGGGCTCTCTGCAAAATTGGGAGTTTTAGGCTTTCTTAGGCTTTCTAGGCCGAAATAGGCCGATTTTAGGCGGTTTTGAGAAAATGCTGGTTTTAGACTTAAAATCAGTAATATTAGGCCAAACTAGGCCATTTTTGGACGTGAAATCTGTCATTTCAGACCATAAAAAGGCCTTTTTTTTCTGATATTTTCATGCCGAAATAGGCCTAATTTAAGCCAAAACGGGCCGATTTCAGGCCAAAAAAAAAACCGATTTTAGGCCGAATTCGGGCTTTTTTCAGGCCAAAATAGGCCGATTTTCGCCTTGAAAATGGGGTTTTCAGGCCAAAATATACCATTTTTCGAGTCAAATTTTGTCTTTTTAGACCTCAAAATAACTATTTTTCAATATTTTTAGACCAGACTAGGCCTATTTTGGGCTAAAAATGACGCCACATTCAGATTTCCAGGCCAAAATGGACCATTTTTGGTCATTTTAAGCGATTTTCAGCCATTTTCAGCCCAAAAAAGCAAAATTCTAACCTTATTCATACGCTCTTCTATCTCCTTATCGTCGGATTCCGGCCGGATCGCATAACTTTCGGGTCGTGAAGTTTCGGCTCGGCGAGCATCTCGTCCTGGATTGTGTCGTGGAGGGGATGGCTGAAAATTGGAGCGAATTTTCAGATTTTTAGACTGAAAATAGGCGATTTTTGAGTAAAAAACAAGATTCTCATCGATTTATGACCATTTTTCAGGGATTTTGAGCCATTTTTCAGGGATTTTTAGCCATTTTTCATGGATTTTAGACAATTTCTCATAGAATTTAAGCCAATTTTAGGGAGTTTCAGACCTAAGAATGACAGCTTTCGACTGAAAATAGGAGAATTTTAGCCTGAAATATGCAAAATTTGGGGAAAAAGTCAAATTTTCACAAATCTTGACCAATTTTAATAATTTTTTGACAATTTTCGATGGATTCTGGTCCATTTTTCAAAAATTTTGGACCATTTTAGAGGTTTTCCGACTGAAAAATTACCGAGTTTGGCTGAAAAACGGGATTTTTGAACTATTTTTGGTGATTTTCGGGCGATTTTCAGGTTTTTAGGCCTAAATAACACATTTTGAATCAAAAAATGAAGGATTTCGACTGAAAATAGGTGTGAAATTCACCTGAAATATGCGAAATTTGGACAAAAAAGTTGAATTTTAAGGTTTTTTAGACAATTTAAAGTTGTTTTTAAGCCTAAAATGACAAATTTTGGCTGAGAAAAAAGGGAATATACGCCTAAATTAGGCAATTTTAGCACAAAAAAGCCACATTTTCAGGAAATTTCGACCATTTTTCATGGTTTTTTGACCATTTTTCATCGATTTTCAGCCGTTTTTCATGACTTTTGGACCATTTCTCCGGGATTTTGGACCATTTTTCATGGATTTTTGATCATTTTTCATCAATTTCGGACCATTTTTCATGGATTTTGGTCAATGTTTGATAGATTTCCAGCCATTTTTCAACTTTTTGCATCATTTTTATGGTTTTTGGGTCAATTTTCATGGATTTTGAGGTTTTTTTAATGGGCTTCCAGTTCTAAAATAACACATTTTGAGTCTAAAATTAGTCTATTTTAGCTCAAAAAACGTCAAGTTTCGACGAAAAATATACTTTTTAGACCGAAATACGCTGATTTTGACTATTTTGAAGCTTAAAATGGCTATTTTCAGCTCTTTTCAGCCCAAATTGCTTGTTTTTGCCAAGAACGCACCGCTCGACAATACGGATCCCGTGTGCGAAGTGTGTAGCCATCTCGATCCGTCAAATCGCCATTTCGCAGTCTGAAAATTGATTTTTCGCCTGAAAATCCATATTTTGGGTCAAAAAGTCAACTTTTTTGAATGAAAAACATGATTTTGAGCGTTTTTTCGGTGTAAAAACCATATTTCCTGACCTTTTAGCACCATATCGCACTAGAAACTCGTCGTTGACCGGCATCGGAGCGCGATCTGGAAATTTATGAAATTTCGAGGTTTTTAGGTCAACAATCGGCGATTTTCGCGATTTTTTATTCGGAAAATGTGATTTTTCACCCCAAAAACTGTGAGAATCACCTCTTCCCAGTTGAAAATCGTCACTTCGCTTACTGTCCGCACGGCGACGTTGATCATCGAGATTTCTTAAAAAATTGAAGCATTTTTGATCAAAAATAAGCTTAAAATCGGCTTTTCCAAGCTAAAATAGCCGGAAAACAGTGTTTTTTGAGTGATTTTGAGCCAAAAATGACAAACATTGACCGAAATTCATTTTCGGTGGAATTTTCGCGGATTTTCGAGTTTTTCAGCATTTTTTCTTGAACTTTCAGCATTTTTAGTCATTTTTCTGGCTTTTTCATCAATTTTTAGCCATATATTACCCCCGCCACAAGCCATTTCCCTCTGATCCGTCTCGATCGCTTTCCCATCGATTTTCAGCCTAAAAATCAAAAATTCGGTTATTTTCAGCGATTTCCCAGCCAAAACTAGCCCTAGAAGATGTTGTTGGAGAGTCGTACCGTGAATACCCTGCGAAAATTGATTTTTATGATTTTTCGGCGAAAAAATGCGATTTCTTACCGTTTCCTCGATGATTATACATGTTTTATATGATTTTTATGGTATTTTTCACCCGATTCCCGATATTTTCATCGAAAAAATCGGAAAATTTGACCGAAAATTGGCAAAAATCGGCGAAAATCAAACAGACAGCGCGTAAATCCAACGCCCCTCGTTGCAAAAATGACACAGTTGAAACGAGTGTTACCGTAGTTTTAAATCATTCTAAAAACTGGATTTTTTGTATGTTAGGCCCAATGGATTTGTCTGAAACTTGCTAAAAACAATTTTTCAGCCTAGATTTATGTATGCATGCAAAAAAGTTTACAAAAATCAGTGCAAAAACAGCAAAACTGGACATTTTTTTAAATTCTGGGTCTCGCCACGAACTGACATAATCATGTCGCTTTTGTTTTTTATTTTTTTAAAGGGTTCTGTTGGATTTTCAGCGATTTCTAGAGGGTTTTCTGTGGTTTTTCGGGGTTTTTGGAGTGGAAAATTTGAATTTTCAGCATTTTAAGCTTGAAAATCGACTATTTCAACACAACAATATGCAAACAACCACGGAATTTTGAAGGAAAGCTTTTGGAGTCAACAAAATCACTTTCCAAAGCGAGATTTTGGTTTCCAGGACTCGGAAAATAAAATTTCAAGCCAGCGAAAAGCTGGAAATCACAAAAAACAGTTGAAATTCAATCGGAAACCATCAAAAACCTGGAAAAATGACAAAATTGTGATTTTGCTGGAAATCTCTGATTTTGGCTGGAAATCGCAGATTCGCAGCTAGATTTAGCCTGAAAACGGGAAACTCAGCGACAAAATCATTTGGAAATTTGAAAAAAATGAATTGAGCTAACTGTGGAAGAAATATAAAGAAGAAAATAAAGATGAAACAGTGGAAAACAGACATTTCCGGGTCTTCAAACACTCAAAAATGTCCTTAAAACCCTCTAAAACCCCCTAGAAACCCCTAAAAATCGATTTATAAGCATTTTTGAAAAAAGTGTCCGGATGGCCGAGTGGGATTTTTCATAAACTCTGAAAAAAAGGTCGCGGGTTCGAACCCCACCGGTAGCAACTTTTTTTTTTGCTTTGTGTGTGGACCTTGAGAATGATAGTAGGATGCCGGGAAACATAGATTTTTCTGGA